TATTTTTTGTGATATAAATGAAAAAAGAAAAACATTTTTGAAAAATCCCCCCCCCCCCCCAATATTTTCTACTTTCTGCTATAAATCATATCCAATACAAAAAGTAAAAAAATAAAATGTATTTATAAATTTAGGCCAAAATGTATTCTGCTACATGTCTTTGGTAAAAAAAAAAATATCCCAATAAGTGTTTATTACTTGGTTTTTGCAAAAGTTCTAGCGTTTACAAACTATGGTATATATATATATATATATATATATATATACTGTATATATACACAGTATATACTGGAATTTATGCTGCTGTCACGTAATACTAGTAATGGTGGTGATCAGTGACTAAAAGTGGCATTGTGAGAGTAAGGCAGGCAATCCAGTGCTGGCTGATGCTAGCTCAGAGGTACACTAACTGACTAATTGACATTGACATCAATAGTGACACTAATAGAGTGATCAGTGCTAATACTATACACTGTCACTGTACTAATGACACTGGCTGGGAAGGGGTTAACATCTAGGGGCAATCAAAGTGTTAACTGCGTGCCTAGCCATAGTGCATTTAGGTATTGAGAAATTCCCCATGGAATTTTGCAATATGATAGTAATTATCCTCTTGGCTGCAAAGTCACTTCTTACTAAACTATGGAGAACCAACATGGCACCCAATAAAAAATAAAACCTACCTATGAAGATGCCTCTAGATCTGGTTCCCACTCCAAATTTAAACATGGAACTCTTGGATCCAATGGATATCAGCATAACAATAACTAATGTATATTACCCTATGTTGCCATTAATCCACTATTATCTTGTATTACAATGTATGTATAGAACTTTTTCTTTATCACTGGGTCTGGGCGACCTGGCAGGACAATAGTGCAATCTACTTACAAATGTATGTTCCTATTCTCTTCCAATCCAGTCTAATCCAGTTCTGTTGTAAACACAACATATGTTCAAATAAGACCAGATATTGCCAATTTTGTAGCATCCTGTATTCATGTTAAATTCTTATATTTTCAATAAAAACTCATTGATGAAAATAAAAAAAGTTAACTGCTTGCCTAACAATGTATTATGTGTGTTATATGTACTGCATTTACTTTATTGTATGGCTGTTTATTCTCCCTCCCAGGGAGAATAAACAGCCAGATCGCTTGTACATGTACACACAGAATTCTGTGTGTGATCAAAATCATTGGCTGAAATCAGCTGCCAAACTTGAGCTGTGTCCAATCACAGCATGGGTCAGCAGCAGGAATGCGCCTGGCCTGGAGCTGCCACCTGCTTGCAGTACAAATATGGGTGGGTTAATGTGGTTAAAGTGCAATCTGGAAAAGTAGTACCAATATCTGTTAACACCCAGGACTTAGTGCCCTGCAATTAGAGACAAGTACTTGTCGGCTGTTATCTTATGCCTCATTTGGAGAAAATGACAATACATACATAGAGCCATGAGCTGTGATGCAAACTTAAGCAGGCCATAGGTGAGTCAAAAACGTAATGAAAATTCTTGTCAATCATCAGATCGTTAGTTTTTTGCATCATTAGTGTGCCAGCTGCGACACGCTATTTTTGGGCTGCAATCAAAAGTGCCTGATTCAACATGCTAGATGTTTTTTTAGAAAAGTGAAACAAATGATGGCACAATCATATGTGCCATTTTTGTTTTTTTGATTGACAGAGCTTTTGGTTTTCGACTCATCTATGAGTCTTACTGCTACAGTGGGTATAGAAAAGAATCACCCCTACCTTTAACCACTTGAGCTTCAGAGGATTTACCCCCTTAATGATAAGGTCTCTTTTTGCTACTCGGCGCTGCACTAATTCAAATGATAATTTGAATTAGTGCGCGGTCATGCAATGCTGCACCCAAACGAAATTTATGTCCTTTTTTTCACACAAATAGAGCTTTCTTTCGGTATTTGATCACCTGTGCGCTTTTTATTTTTCACGCTATAAACAAAAAAAGGCAAAAATTTTGAAGAAAAACAATATTTTTTACTTTCAGCTATAAAAAATATATAGTAAACTCAAAGTTGGTTATAAATTTAAGCCAAAATGTATTCTGCTACATGTTTTTGGTAAAAAAAAAAATCCCAATAAGTGTATATTGATTGCTTTTTGTGAATGTTATAGCGTCTACAAACTATGGTATAGATACTGCAATTTACGCCATTTTTTTGCTATACAGCGCTGTGCTAGTTTAACAGAAAATTGCGCGGTCATGCAATATGGTACATAAATGAAATTTACATCCTTTTTTTTCCCACAAATTGAGCTTTCTTTTGGTAGTATTTGATTGCCTGTGCGGTTTTTATTTTTTGCGCTATAAAAAAAAAAGCCTGACAATTTTGAGGAAAAAAAAACAATATTTTGGACTTTTTGCTATAAAACATGTCTAGTAAAAAAAAAATTTAAAAATCAAATTTAGTCATAAATTTCTGCCAAAATGCATTCTGCGACATGTCTTTGGTAAAAAAAAACTCCAATACGTGTAAATTAATTGGTTTACGTGAAAGTTATAGCGTTTACAAATAGCGGGAAAGATACTGGGATTTTTAGTTTTTTTTTTTTTACTAATAATGGCGGCGATCAGCGACTTATGGCGGCGATCAGGGACTTATGGCGGTGATCAGCAACTTATGGCGGGACTGCGGGACTGCGGCGGACATTCTGACATTGGGGGGTACTGACTTGGGGTCACTGACATCCCAAGTGACACCAATACAGTGATCTGTGCAAAAAAAAACACTGACACTGTACTAATGGCACTGGGGAGGAAGGGGTTAACTTTATTTTGCAGGGAAGGGTTATCTGAGTGAGGGGGAGTGTTTTACTAGGGGGCGGGGGTGTGTACTGAAGGGAGAGGGAAACTCTTCTGTCCCCGTCAGCGTGTTCTCGAGCTGTCAGGGAAGTGACAGATAGCACAGCTACTGCAGCTGTGCTCTCCGTCACTGATTGCCGCCGATCGCCGGGTCATAGCCGGTAAGGACGGCTGTGACCCGGCGACTGACATCCGCGGCTGTGATTGGCGGGACAAGCAGGGCGGCGGCGCGCCTCGCACACGCCCCCTACCTGTTTACAAAACACACGTTTTAAAACGTGGTTTTGCCTGCCCGTGCCGCCCTGCCGCCGTATTTCTACAGTGGCAGGGCGGCAAGTGGTTAAAATAATCACATTTTGTTGCTTTTCAGCCAGAAATGATGACAGGCACAGTTTTTGTTTTATTCAGCTGCATTTACTGTATTACTATTTATAACATCTAAGTGAAAGGTATAACACCAACATCTCAAAAAAAATAAAAAAGAATTCTAAAACAGAATCACTGAGTTGGAAAAAGGATCACCTCCTTGCGTCAATATTTTGTTGAACCACCTTTTGCTTTAATTACTGCCTTTAGTCTGTTGGGATATGTCTCTACTAACTTTGCACATCTAGAAATTGCAATATTTGCTCACTCTTCTTTGCAGAACTGCTCAAGTTCAGTTAAATTTGATGGGGACCGTTTGTGGACTGCAGTCTTCTAGTCATTCCACAGATTTTCAATGGGGTTTAAGTTCGGGTTCTGACTAGGTCATGCAAGGACATTCACTTTTTTAGGCTCATACATAAGATGAGGTGCGAATGTCATTGATGAACTAGCAAAAAAGAAAGAAGAAGCCAGCCACCAATGGCTGTTTCTTAAGTGATGCAGTGAGTTTCCATACTGGAGGGGTAAAACAAAGAGGTTAGTCCTTTTTTTAAATGATGGAGCGTGTTTCCAATCTGTGAAGGAGGGGGGATGGGGGATCAGAGAGGGTAGTCCACTAAAACAGAACATGAAGGAGGCAGGTAGGTACTACTCATTTTATTATTTGTACAAAATAATTTTCATTACTATGGCATTGTTTGTGGGGGTGGCTTACATGGATGAGACCATTCAACACTGGCAGGGGCAATTCAAATGATCAGTTTTTATTTATTAATGTTAAACCTTTAACCCAAAACAAAGAAAAAAACTGTTTGCTGTAACTTATTATAGAGCATTAGCTGGAGTTTGGCTTCAATTTGTTATTGTATTCAATCTGCTAATACATTAAAACTCCTATCCCCCCAGACTGACAGTGCTGATCTCTGCTGTGTACTGTACTTATTCCTCCAGAGTGGTGTCTCACTAATACAGGAGATGTGTTACTGGCTAAATCACCAGGTGAAAACAGAGGGAAAAAGGCAAAGAAAAGAAAATGATGCTGTTTACACTGATGCACCGGTTTTGGGTTTAACACCACTTTAAGATAAGCATAGATCTATACAAAGACACAAATATTTTTAAAAAGTAAAGACTTGGTGCCATATTGTCTTTTTCTTCCATCCGTGTTCTATGTTTCTATCACTACTTTAACCACTAGCCTACTGGGCATTTTTACCCCCTTCCTGCCCAGGCCAATTTCCAGCTTTCAGCGCTGTCACATTTTGAATGACAATTACGCGGTCATACAACACTGTACCCATATGAAATTTTTATCATTTTTTTGTGACAGATAGAGCTTTATTTTGGTGGTATTTAATCACCTCGGGGTTTTTTATATTTTTTCTTAAACAAACCAAAAACCACTGAACATTTTGGAAAAAAAGTTTTTTTCTTAGTTTTTGTTATAAAATTTTGTAAATAAGTGATTTTTCTCCTTCACTGATATGCGCTAATGAGGCTGCAGTGGTGGGCACTGATAGGCTGCACTGATGGACACTGATAGGTGGCACTGATGGGCACTGATGATGAGGCACTGGTAGGTGGCACTGATGGGCATTGACAGGCATCACTGATGGGCACTGAAAGGCAGCACTGATATATGGCACTGATAGGCAGCACTGATAGGCAGCACTGACTGGCACTGTTAGGCGGCACTGACTGACACTGTTAGGTGGCACTGACTGGCACTGATAGGTGGCACTGATGCGCAATGATAGGCGGCACTGACTGGCACTGATAGGCGGCACTGACTGGCACTGATAGGTGGCACTGATTGGCAGCACTGATAGGTGGCACTGATTGGCATTGATAGGTGGCACTGATGGGTGACACTGAAAGGCAGCTCAGATGGACACTGATATGTGGCAATTATGTGCACTGGTAGGCACTGATATGTGGCATTGATGTGCCACTGAAGGGCACTGGCACGAGGCACTGATGAGCACTGATAGCTGGCACTGATGGACACTGACAGGTGGCACTGCTGGGGCTACACTGATCATCAGGGCACACTGATCATCAGTGCCCTGATGACCAGTGTACATGTCCCCTCCACGGAAAGCAAATTACCGGCTCTCCTCTCCTCTCGAGCTGTCAGTGTGACAGCTTGAGAGGAGAGAAATGCCGATAACCGGCATTTCCCTGTTTACATGTGATCAGCTGTGATTGGACACAGCTGATCACATGACAGAGATGACATCTTCGGTTCTTTCCGTGATCGGTGATCCGCTGTGTCCAAGGGGCAAAGCGCACCGCCGATGAGCCGCCCATGCGCGGTGAGAATAGGAGGACATCATATGACGTCCTCCCAGAACAAGAGAACCACCTTGCGCCCGTCATTGGACTATATGGAGGTGGCTAAGGATAATTAAAACCTATGAGATTTTGGGTGGTGCAATAAAACAATCCTGGTTGCTGGTGCTTCCAGCAAGACACACCTTTCATAGGATGGAATACTAAGGCCTATAAAAATGTGCAAAACAAACTGTACTTCAGCTTTTCATAAAAAAAGTACAGCTGTAAATGTAGTCTAATGTTTTACAGTTTGCTTTAGTCCAAAGAGTACAGCTGGCTTTACAGTAGCAGAATTTTGTTTCACAGTTATTGAAAAAATATTGCAAGAACATCCATTTGTTTTTCTGTTCATTAGTGGGACTCAAAACGATGTATGTTTTTGACCACAGTGCTGAGAAAATTCAAAGGAGCGGTATGGAAATTTTTTCTCAAATGTACAAATGTCTAACAGTGTATGTAGTGTTCGTTCGGTAAAGTCCATTTATGACAAAATTGAATGTTAAAAGCAAATGAAATCTTGAACTACTTTTGAAGGACTTTCAAATGTACTGAGAATTGTACAATTTTTCCTTTGAAATTCTATTAGTGTAAACCAACTTTAAGCCACAGCACTGATACATTGGCTAGTGTTGATCACACTGATCACATTTCAAGAAAAAATCGATCTGCATATGACAAGCTTAAGAAATAGTACAAAAGATATTTAAACCAACTGCACTGAACAGTGCTAGATTCCCATGGCTCTTTCCTCTTGTGCCTTTGTTACACTTTGGTACAACTGGTTCAATTGTTTAGTTGCTTTTCCTCGCAGTTAATGTTACAAAAGGAATGTAAGTTCTTAAAAACATATCTACAAATAGCTGACAAACTTTTTTTTCTCTGCATTTTTGAGTTGTTCTGTTATCCCAGGAGTGCACATTTCTAACTACAAACTCTAACTGTGCATGAAAAGACAGCAACACAATGAGATAAACAGAAGGAGTCAGTGAACAGCGTACAGCAGCAGAGGGAGATGCATTGCTAAAAATATTCATCTAGTTGCTAGTCCTTGATATTCTTGAGCTGAACAGTAAAAGTAAGTCTTCAATATTACAACTCTCAGCTTCCATGTGTAAATTTAGGCTTAGAACAGAAAGCATGTGCACATGAGGTGCTTAATTTTATTATCTTCATATTGAGTGGAATTCAGATTGCTTTTACGTATAAAACCAATTTGTCTACAGGCTTGTGGGGCAAATGGCAATTACATAGTTAAAAAAGTTGTCCATGGGCGAGAGACCTTAGCAGAATCAGCTTCTGTAGACCCTAAGGCAGGCGATAGATTAATGGATTTTCTTTCCTGCGACCACGGATTTCAGGAAAGAAAGAATTGCTTGCACTGACTGTGTTGATGTGGGAATCTCTTGGACATGTTGGCTATCGAATGACTTTAGCACAATCAGCCTGAATTTTGGCCGGTCAGCAGGGGCTGAACGAGATTCAATCCATCTATGGCTGTCTTACAGAAGTTACAGAAGAGAGATAAAGATCACTAATTCCTGTGATTAACAAACATAATTCCAATCCGGTACAGTATATCTGGAGAACAAACAAGTAAATCCTTAGGCAGACCATAGTTTATGTGATTTTCTTTCCTCATTCAGTGTTGATGGTTGAATCCCTTCCACAGAGCTAATATGTTCTCACAGCGAGGGGGGTGGGGAAAACACAATTATTATTGCTAGCGGGAAGTGACATTCTGCTTGTGGTTAGCGAGGATGGTCGGGTGAGATACTGCAGATGCGATACACTACACGATTTGTGGGATTATTGATGATGGGCATGCAATCACTATAGTTTTGTGAATATGTTACTGGTTTTATAATAAATTGATTTTTAGCGGTATTACACTATTGACTTTTCCTTATTTCCTTTCCTGTGGTGGAGTGATGTTTATAGAGAATTTCCTACCATTTCATGAGTGTTTGTTTACTCATGGGCACATGTGATTGATTTTCACCACCAGCACTGCTGCTTATCAATGTTAGATAAGCCATAATATCTGGTGAGTGTCATTGGATTGGGGGCGATCTGTTTGGAGCATGTGGTGTCACTGGAGTGGAGTTTGCTGATTGCTGACACTTGTGGAAGGTCTATTCAATCACATGGTGGTTTAGAAGGATTTATACGCAGTTATATGGTGGGCATATATATGGATTTCATAGCACGTTTTTGGTTCTCACTTTTATCAATTGGACTTTGTTTATTTATTTGTATTATTATTATTATTTTTTACATGATTTATATAGCACCAAAAGTTTGCTCATAGCTTTACAGCGTATTATTTCCGCATATATGTTATAGTACTGACGGGGGGTACAGTCGCAGACAGGGGCATTGTCCTGCGTGAGTGCATTTTCTACTGGAGTGCAAAACAGCAGTTGAACACAGCAGTTTAACTAATGCAAGATAACTGAAGTAGCAGGAAGATACAACAAAGAACTCTACTGAATGGACTGCAAGCAAACACCCTGGGAAACATCTCCTACAAGTTTGATTCCCAGTCCATCTACCTTTTAATATGCCCCCTCTACTCCTCCTTTTCATATTACTATACTCTGTTCTCAAAATATCATTTCTTTACCCCTCTGCTCCACCCCAAAGCTTATACATATCACCCTCACTGCTACCATCTCCATACTACTGCTCTCATCCCCTCCTGCTAATACTTTACTCACCTGCTGACCCAAATACCATGACAGGCATGTGCACTCACATATATCCCACTCCCATCTTACTTTTCTCACCCTCCTCCTAATCTCTAGGAATATCTCTCCAAACCCAAACCCTGGTCCTCCAGTATCTTGCCCCCACAGCAGGCATCCCCTTCCTCTAGGAATTGCCACAATCCACTCAATCCCTATGCTCCTAGAAACCACGCTTCCTTTTTCATGTGCATTCTGGAATTCCCATTCTATCTGGAATAAGCTCACCTCTGTCCATGACCTTTTTGTCTCCCACTCCCTTAACCTACTAGCAATTACAGGAACCTGGCTTCAAGCATCAGATTCTGCTTCTCCCACAGCACTTTCCTATGGAGGCCTTCTCTGGACTCACTCACCCAGACCCAGTGGTCGGTAAAGGAGGTGGAGTTGTTTTGCTTCTATCCCCACTGAGCACATTTCAAGTCCTCTCTAACCCTTCCTCTCTATCCTTATATTCTTTCAAGACTCACTGCATTCGGCTGATTTCTCCCATTTCTCTGAGGATTGCAGTGATCTACCGGCCTCCTGGACCGGTGTCACGCTTTCTTGATGACTTCTCTGCTTGGCTACCCTACTTTCTCTCCTCTGAAATACCCACTATCTTTCTTGGAGATTTTAACATCCCCATTAATGTGAACAACCCAGCTAGATCCCAACTCTTCAACCTAACCTCGTCTTTTGCCTTAACACAATGGACACAGTCCTCCACTCACTCAGATGGGAATACATTAGACCTTGTTTTCTTTCATCTTTGCATTCCATACAACCTCAAAAAAACACTTTTCCTCTCTCTGATCGCAATCTCATCACCTTCACAGTTTCCTTGTCTTCAAACACCTATCCCTCCAAGCAGCAAACAATTACCCTCAGGAACCTTCACAACTTAAACCCTTCTCTTTTCCACTCTGCAGCTGACTGCCTCTATTGCAGAATCTCTCCCCTGTTCCGCCCTGACCTGGCCACTGCTGTCTACAACAGTTCACTTTCATTCACACTAGAATCACTTGCTCCTCTAACTACACAAAGTATGAGGCCCGGACCATTACAACTGTGGCAGACTGGCGACACCAGAAATCTTAAGAGACATAGTCGTGCACTGGCGCAATTGTGGCGTAAAACCAAATCTCAGCAACAATTCACCATAGGGACCCCTACAGAAAGAGGAAGTGGAGAGGAGGAGACAGAGTTATAGGTAACGCTGAAAGAGTGCTGCGTTAGGTAGGAAGAGAACCAGGAGAGAGTAGAGTCTCACAGACCAAGAGAGTAAAAGTTTTTGAGGAGTAGGGTATGGTCAACAGTATCAAAAGCCGTAGAAAAGGTCAAGTAGTAAGAGTACGGAGTAGTGGCCATTGGTTTTAGCTGTTAGTAGATCACTAGTGAGTTTTAGTAGGGCAGTTTCAGTGGAGTGTATTGAGCAAAAGCCAGACTGTAAAGGGTCAAGAAGGTTGTTATCAGTGAGGTGAGAGCTCAGGCGATTGTAGACTGTGTTTAAGAGTTTAGAGGTAAACGGGAGCAGGGAGATGGGTCTTAACCTCCTTGGCGGTATGATTCCTTCCGATTTTTTTGTGCTGAAAGCGGTACCATTTTTTCGCATGGAAATAGTTTTTTATTGTAGGCTGTAATTTTTAGGAAAATTTCCCCACAAATCATTATCACTCAATTCTGTAAGTGGTTCTGATTTACTATCGCTGTTCTCTAGCCGGTCTAAAACCGCTTTTGACGTAAAGGGACGCTTTTTGGACGCCATGGACTTTTCTAAGTTTCCAGGCAGAAAGAACAGACAAAATGCAGGCAGGGCACAGGACAAAGCACTAGGGACAATATGTATGTGAAATGGGATGAAACAGCAATGTTTTACTATTTAAAATTGAAAAAAAAAAATGAAATTTTTTAAATTTTTTAAATTTCCCGCCGCCGGCGGCCCCCGTACGTCCCGACGTCACGGGGACCGGAACACAGAAGCCGGATACCGGCATCGGCCGGAGGAGATGGCCGGGGACGCTGCAGGGGACACATCGTGGGAACGAAGGACAAGGTAAGTGCTGCAGAGACCCCCAGAGCAGCGCCGTATGGTAAGCCCGAGTGTAGCTTGGGGTTACGGCTTGTGGTATAGAAATTTTACCCCGAGCTACACTCGGGAAAACCGCCAGGG